CAGAATTCCCCAGCCAGCAAATGCTGGCTGGGGAATTCTGGGAGTTGAAGTCCAGACATCTTCAAGTTGCCAAGGTTGAGAAACACTGGTCTAGACTCTAATAACATTCAGATCAATATAGAGTTTTCCCTTCCTACTCTTACCAGCAATCCAGTGGTGGGTTTCCAATTTTTTTACTACCAGTTCGCTTGTGGTCTCGCTGCTTCTGCACATGTGCAGAAGCATCTGGACAGAGCCTCCCACTGTCACCACTACCGGTTCACCTGATCCAGGCTGAACCGGGAACAGCAACCCACTTCTGCAGCAATCCAATGGATGCAACAGATTGGGGTGTCCAACCTTGGCAACTTTCAGACTAGTGAACTTCAACTCCCAGAATTCAAACTTCAACACCGCTGCAATAGAACTTGCAAAAAGTGACTATATTCTGTTTCTTAGTCTCTTCTAAACTTGTGTTCCCTTTCCTTCTCAAAAATGTTGGCAGTTAACCTGCACAGTGAACACAAGCAGCTGAATTCTATGGTTTAATCAGAAGAAAGGACCACAGAGGACCTCAAGGCAAGGAGTGTTTCTTTTGAACGAAATCTGTTCATGGTTGTCCTTTCGTCTATATCAGTGTTTCTCAACCATATCAAGGACATGTGGATATCAACTTCCAGAATTCCTAAGGCAACATGGGGAATTCTGGGAATTGAAGTCCACACGCCTTCAAGCTGTCAAATTCACAAACACTGCTCTATACAGAGTGGTAAGCAAAAAAGATATTTATGTTTGTTGCTATTATGAAGTGACTTCTCCCTCGTTAACAAAATAAGGCAGAGTACCACTTTTCTACAAGATTCTCTTGGGCAAGTATGATGGGTCAGCTGAGACTGTTGGGTGACTCAAGGGGATTTTCCAAAGTCTCAAGGGGACAAAAAAGGCTTTTGCTGCAGTTCTGAATCATAATGTTCTAAAAATATAGCATTGTATATACCTTCTTCCTCCTTGGGATCCAACTGAGTAACTTTCACCTGAAGGCGATCGACTCTCTCAACTAAAGAGGTGACTCGAACGCCAAATGTGGTTGCTTGTGTACACAGCTCTCTGAATATGTCCTCTGCAAATTTACCTGGGGGGAAAAAAGAGGCATGTAGACTGAAATACCAGGAAAAAAATTCCCAGGAAATAAAGGCAACAGTAAAATCACTTTTACACAATTGCCAAAAAACAAACAAACAGCAACCCTAAATGTATAGCCAGGTAGTCAAAAGTTGACCTCAATAAAATGAGTCTTTAAGTTAAGCATACACATAATTATTCTTGTTGCTCTTATTCACAGGATGCAATTATAGAAAAGCAGTACATTTTCCTTCAAAGCTAGATCATTAGTAAAAAAAAAAAAGGTTCCATAGTAACATTGAACCTACATATGGTATTTTCATAAGTTAAGGTTATTTATGGTCTAAAACTAATAAAGCATAAAACACAATACTTAAAAGCGCAAGAAAAGCAAATCCAAAACAAATAGTAATGAGGTACCAAACTGCCTTCAGCAAGCTATGGCTACTGCTATAAATTGACAAGAACATCTTTCAAAATAAAAGGAAGTGATACAGAATCTATACAGACTTATTAAGTAGTAAGTAATCAAACTGCAAAAGTAATCACAGCAAAGCAGCTGATTCTTACAATCTTAATAATCCGATTTACTGG